TCCTCAAAATCACGTTTGAAAAACTGTGCAGTCTCCATGTTTACACCCATAGCTGCAAATACAATGGCGAAATTGTCCTCCTCTCCACCCTGAAAGTTCACATGGCAAGTTAGTGACCTAATTACAAATTTAAGTTAGAAAGAGCTGAGAAAGAAATGTGAACCAAACAACTATCTAAGTAACAACAAGCTTCAATGCTTCAAGGTGAATGGAATTAGGGAAATGAAGAAATAACACTAGGTGATGCCTGAACCAGTTCACGTGCAATTTGATGAGGTACTAAAAAATCAAGGAACTCTTCTAATATTGAGCACTAAACAAGAGACGAGCTTTTCATTTGAAGTAATTGTGAAGCATAACATAATTGTGGTCCACTCATTAAATTTAAATATTCTTCCAATAAAGCTAGTATCGCTGTTTAAATATATGGTTTATTTATTTCCTTGTGTCTCCAAAGAATACTGTTTCAAGGATCCATTATAATGGAACATTATTCAACTACACATTTAACAGTTATCTTATTGAGAACAAGGTTGTGAGTCTAGTTCTCACAATCCAATAAGGTGTGAACATTACCTCAAGAAGATTTTCGGACTTCTCCAATCGCTTTACCAACCCTGCTTGGCGACATATTTGAGCAGCTATTTCATTATGGGGAAGACCAGCAGCAGAAAACAGAGGGATCTTCTGTCCTCTAGCAATAGAATTCATGACATCAATTGTAGAAATCCCTGTCTGAATCATCTCCTCAGGATACGTTCTCTCACTAGGGTTGATAGAACTCCCTGCAGAAGGCATAGCATTTAGTAAAGGGCAGTTAATATTATTCACTCTAAGAAGATGTCAACGAGCAACATATATTAATAAAGATTGTTCAGTCCAAAATATAGCCTACCAGATATATCCAAATACGCCTCAGGCAAAATAGGAGGACCATTATCAATAGGCTTCCCAGAACCATTAAAAATGCGGCCAAGCATATCCAAGGACACTGGAGTTTTCAAAACCTACAAAACAGGGGCAGGGAAAGCAAGGGTGTCACCGGAGCAAACCTAGTCTCTTAAGGAAACTACTATAATTCAATTAAAACTTCAAAGATGTAAATGGCCATACACCAACTTATCAATTCATTACGGCTTCAGAGGTATATACTAGAATCCAGCACAAGCAATATTCCACATCAGAAAACCAAATGATAATAATAACCATGTGAACTTCATCCATGACATCTAAATATCAAAAACTGTGGAGTATCATGAAATACAGGCATTGAGGGACTTGCCTTTGTGACAAAGGTTTAGCAGTGTTTCTTTAAGATATAGGTGTAATTCATTATCTACTTATATGTCCTATTTGTAGCTATTTTCTGCAGATTTTTTCTACAAGAAAAGGAACGAGAACAAGTGATAAATGAGATCTAATTATCTGGTTGATGTTTTTTTGGTGGCATGTAAACATGTGAGCCTACAGATGGTTTATACAGCTATTTTCCATGTCTAATTTGCAGCATTTGACAGGTTTGGTAGTTGAAGGTTCATTGGTATGAGCCGAAAATTGCAATTGCTGTTTGACAAATTAAGAATTAAAAAAAATAATCAAAGGCAAGGCTTCAAACCTCTCCAGTAAATTGCACAGTTGTAAACTTGTTGTCAATCCCAGAGGTTCCTTCAAAAACCTAGCCAAGAAAATACCAAGAAAGAATGCATTCAGTCTTTAAAAAAGGTGCGCAATTTTTTTCACTACAAATTAAGCTAAGAGTGTCGCCTTCAAACAACTCAATTTATAGCAATCCTTCTACACACACACACACACACACACATGACCACAGTCACAATGTTAAAGTTAAGATTTTTACTTTAATCAGGAAACAAACCAACTTATTTTGAACCTGCGGTCGCAAAGAAAAGATGGAAAATGCTGAGCAGCAATTACCTGAACAACAGCTTTCTCCCCATCAACTTCCAAGACTTGACCACGTCTGGTTGATCCATCTCCCAAACGAATATTAACAATCTCTTGATATTTGGGTCCCTAACATAGTGAATAAACAACGCACCAATCAATAAAAACTGAAGCATCACCACAGCGGTTAACAAATCAAATAAATTATCCCAAGCATAATCAATCAAGAAAAGAGGAGTATTACCTTCACTTTTTCAAGTATGACAAGAGGTCCAGCAACTCCAGAAACAGTTCTATACTCTGTAATACATGAAACAAAAATTTAAATCGCAATAACTACTCTCTACAACCTCGATCACCACTCGTAAAACACTCAACAAATTTAAATTTAAGAACAAGTATCTCACTAACTGATTTCTTGCCATCCCAAACAGTGTTAATCCATTCCATTCGGGTATAGTTCACCGATTAATTATCAATTTCTGTTTCGTTCCATTATGCATTCACATGATGTCTCCAAATCAAATTCGCAATTAATTACTATACTGCAGCAAAACTCACCCATGCCGATCTCAAGCGTTCCCTCCTCCATATCGAGATTGTTTGTTTCCACACCCATTATCAACCTTCATTTTTAAAACAAAAAAGTCAAACAAATTGATTCCACCATAAATTAATCTCGAAAAAAAGAATTATCATTTACATTAATCAGCTTATAAATACTATTTAATTAAAAATAAACAAAAAATCAATGAAGAACTTCAAAATTTAAGAGCACAGCAGGAACAGATCAATAATTATAATACCTAGACAGAACTAAAAAAACTTCCTTAACAAATAGTAGCCAAACAAAGCTTCATCAATCATACAACTTAGTATCAAAATTCAACGAAACTAAGGAAGTAACTAACAAAACAAGCGCATCAATCTCAAAATCCAATGAGAAATGAAAGTTTCAATTCAACAAGAATTTGATTGGCTGATAGTAAAAGGAGGAGAGAAATGACAATTTTGGATCTGAAAAAGAGACGTACCTTTTTTGTGATCTGCCTCCGGTACACAGCGAGAGATAGATAGACAGAGAGAGAGGAGGGGGAGGGGTCAAGAGAAAAGGAATAAACTGAGATCGGATGCTCTGGAAATTAAAAAACAAAAAAACAAAAACACTTTGTTTTGTAAGAAATTATTGAGAGAGGGTTATTTATTTATTAGTATTTAATGGAAATAATGATAACAGTCCGGTTTTACACTGTGATGGGATGGGATCTCGTACATCGCGCGTCACGTGATATTTGTAAAGGATTGGGGAAACCAGTAAATTCAGAAATATTTTTTATTCTTTCCTATTGTCTCAATTAACCAGATATTAATTCTATAGATGATTTGGATTTTGTATTCTCCATTGTCATGGACTCCTATGAGAATCTTAATGTTAATTACTGATTTAAGTGATATTAAAAAAAATTAGCCTAATTGAAGTGGTTCTAATAAACATAGTTAACTAGATAAACTATTTCAATAATGATTGTAAATAACATGAAATAGAAAAATATATAATTGAGTAACTTCAACCCAAGCTTACTAGATAATAATTAATTAAAAAAAAAGAGTAATTTGGTAGTGATTATGTATCCACAGAGAGAAGGATTTTTTTTATTTTATTTTTTTACTTCCCGTCACAAAGATTAACTTTATATATTAGGTTTTAGCTAGTCACTTAATCATCGCAGGGGATGGAGGAATAAAATATATTTCTAGAGTAAATTACCTAATCAAGTAAAAGAAAAAATAATTTATTTAAAATAAAACAATCTTAAAATAACTAATCAGTGGACCTTTTCACATTATTCATGTTATTGAGTTAGGATTTTAAGCCAAAAGGTTGGGTTAGGGATTGTATTAATATTTCCCAAAAATACAAAAAACTACAAAATTGAACTTCTTTTTGTAAAAAAGATAAGTTCTGGGGTTTTTTCCCCAAAAAATGCAAAGAAAAACCAACAGTAACCAAATGGGCACAAATTGAAATTATAGAAACGGAAGTGATATATTTGTGAATTCACTATCCACAAAGCCAAAAATGTAATAAAACCAAAAACTTGCAAAGAAAGATGTGATGTAGCGGTATGTGACTACTGGTAGACGTGAGAACACGTGTGCAAAAAAACTTGCGGGGTCCACTGAAAGTTCACAGAAACTTCCATCCATCCAGAAATGGACGCTCACGTTATCAGGATCAGCATGACAGTTGGACGTCTCAAATCGGTCTAATCGGGGCTCATCTCCAGCCAAGGGAAATCAATGATTGCAATTAAATGATAAAAACAAAACAAAGAAGGTATATGTAGTTTGAAAATTGAATTTTGTTTTTAAATAATATAAATTATATTTTAATATTTTATTTAAAAATTTAAGTTTTTAAATTGAATTATTTTTTTTAAATATTATCATAATTTTGATGATTAAACAATTATGAATTTAAATATTATTATTTTTGTTTACTTGATAAAAATTAAATATAAAATAATATATATCTATTTAAATTTAAAAACATTTACTTAAAAAAATATAAATTATATTTTAAAACATAATCTAAAAATTTAAATGTTTAAATTAAATTGATTCTTTTATTATTTTTAACTCCTTTCTCCACAAAATTTTAAAAGGGTATCTATAAAATTTTTAGCACTATCCTATACAGAATAAAAACAAAAGTTACATTCTCTGCAACGAGAACAACATTTTTAATTTTGGGATTAAGAAGATGAATTAACTCGAAATTTATGTTTTAGTTCTTCTTCTAGGTACGAGAATGACCAAAAATCAAATTCTTTCTCTAATCTCTTTCTTTATTTGGTAATCAAATTGTATAATCAAGGATATTTCTGGCCATCAAAAATGTATTTTTAATTTGAATTAATTTTAATATTAACCTAATCAAATCTAGTAATTTGACAAAGTAATTCACGAAATGATTAACTCTTCTAAATTCAATAATAATTAAAAAAAAATTAAGAACGACATATTTTAATGATCCGTAAATGGACTGAGCAAAAGAATAACCCATGCCCTTTACTAGGTCATATCCTGATTGGGGTGCGATAACCATGATAGTATGAATGCAACTCAGAATTGCGAGAGGGTTTAGATTAATATAACAGCATATTGAGATGCAAGGAAATGATCAGGCATTGGAAATTGAGAGCTAAACTCGAAGTTTCTGTTAAGGGTTACTGGGTGCTTAGAGATAAGAGGTTCATCTCCCTTGACTGGAATTATTTAAGCAAATTTCCTTCTCCAAGAAAGTCTACCACCCGATTGGCAGCTTCGAGTCCGGTCACTAAACATTTTTCCTGTTGTAAGTTGATATGCAGAAACATCCAATCAATCTTCTGCTTTTGTTTATTCCCACTTATGCATTCAATTTAATCAACGAAGTGATATGTAGTACCTGTGACCATGATCTGTGCCGCGTTATAATCCAATCTCCAGCCATGAACATGCAAGTTCGGCAAAGGTGTAAATCCGCGCATCATGTATTTGTATCAACCTTCGAGAGGAAGGTAGGCTAAGATCGATTATAAAAAGAAGGAAAGCTTGCACTTGACGCAGCGAAGATTGCACCCGATTCTAAATGTAGCAGAAAAGGCCCATCAAACAGTGTCCAGTGTGAGACATGCTGTTTTTAGCCCAGCAAAGCTCTTAGAAAGCTACCCGGAAAGAAATGAGTCAAGGATTTTGGAAATCTGACAATCTCCATCTTAGTCACGTGAGCTGTCTCAAGTCCCTAACGCACTTGGAGAGATATGACATTACTTTTGTAGCTATGTGTTCGCCTTTGATAGTGTGAAACTGCATATGGTAATCAGAAGAAAGGAGCACATGACCTCAGAAAGAAATTTGCTAAAGCTTGCTTACTTTGCCAGAGATTAATACTCAAAAAATTAGCTTGTACAGTTGTTTCAGGACTTCTCTAGTGCTGACCGAAAAGTTCGTTCAATTCAAAGAAATTCCACCCAGATGAATCATCGAATGAAGAACAAGCATTCCTTGCAAATGGAATCCAGATCTGCTTAAACGAGTCGGAGAAGAATGGCTTAGATATTTACGCACATAAGTATAGACTCCAAGCAAAATGGGGCTATATTCGAAACCATTGCTGTCATCAGAGGTAGGCTATATTCGAAACCATTTCTGTCATCAGTGGTAGTGCTGGTGCATGAATGTGATTCATGGTGAGACATGATGACCCTTCAAGATCCAAGGGCATTACTTCCTAAAGGCAGAATTGAAATATGAATATTTACAGATGTGTCAAGTGCCTGTCATGTGACGCTTGTTACAATTTTCTTTAGAAACATGCTAGATTTTAAATTTCTCTATACCTGAATGCTTCACTGCATTGATAAATAAATCAAGAAAATAAACTATACTTGCAAATGAAAATCAGTTTTGGGTTTTAGATGGTCAGTGAAATGTTATTCTTTTCTTCTTACCCTATTTCTATATGAACGAAAATCCAATGAGAAATGACATATAGGATTATCCGTGGACATACCTTCTTGTCATCGGAGCCCAAATCGCTTGCAGACAGGTTTAAAATGTTCTGAAATTCCTCTCCGGCACTGTATAAAACCCGATTTCCGGTTAAAACAGGATAAAGTAATAGTTTAAGCGGAAAAGGGATGAAAATACGGAAACAAGCGACTCCAAAACAGGAAAAGATAAGAGAAAGGGAATCATATTGTACCATAGATACCAACATCACCAGGATCACTAAAATCACACCCATCTCCAAGAACTGAAACATCAAATCCCTGAGCAAAATATCTCTCCTCCATATTCAGCACTATGAGCAGCTCAATTATGGTCGTTTATTCACCAAAACAGGACTTAAAATTTTCAATTAAGAGATTATTTGACAAGATATTAGAATTTTATTGATCAAATGATCTCGGCTTCAGAAGGCTGGTGAGGAATTTGCAGTAGTCTTTGACATAGAGTTTTGCCTTCTATAAACTCGTGAAAACTTTGATACTATTCAATCCAGTCACCATTCATCTGCTTTGGTCCCAGCATCTTTTTGTGACCTGACACTGAAGCAAAACTAATGATTTTATCCCTTTTTTTTATCCTTCTTACAGTATCAACAGAGTCATGTAATAACAAAAGAGGCTAACTTGAGGCATCAGTTCTCCAACAAGTAATGTCAAAGAAGAATACAAAACATTAGCCATTCTCTCTCTGGCAAAATATCTTTCTTCAGTGACCCTCATTACTTTTTTTTTTCTTTTTTTTTAATCAATAAGCAAACCATCAAATGGTCTCTGCGAGGCAAAGATATACGTCACAAAACTCCCAAAGAGATACAATCTCGGGAAAAATACAAATCCGTCCCCCATTTTTACATATAGTTTCTATGTAATTTTCAAAATTCAAAATTGATCAATTTACTCTAAAACTAGCAAAATTCATTTATAAAATATTTTTTTTCAATATTATTATTTTTTCACTAGCAAGCACAATATCCTTATCCTAAGTGGCAATGAATAGGACTATGTGTCATCCAATAATTTTTATTAGTTAACTCAATAATTGATTCTTCAAAAAAAACACTTATTGTCATGATTTCACTTCCCATCATTTATGGTTGTATTTTTTTTTACTTGAAAAGGAGTTCCAATACTAGTTTGAAATATACATACATACATACACACACACGTGTGCATATAGAGTTATTTTTACCAAATATTTTTTAATTTATAGTTATTTCAACTTATTTTTTAATGAGTTATTTATGAAAAATAATTTTTGAATTTTGAATCAAATTAAAATTTATAATTTAAAAATTATATCAAAACAAACTCTAATTAACATTTGATAGTTGTGCTTTATTTTTAGAGAAACGATAAGAATAGTTGCGATTGTACTCTTAAGATTTAGAGACCCAATCGAAATCAATTAGATAGTTGGAGGACTAATTTGTAGTCTTGCGAAAATTCTCTTAATCATTAACAGTTGCTAGCTTCCTCACTCTTCTTCTATTCTCTCTCTTTAAACACAAAAAGAAACCAAACCAGTCTTCCATTTTGTCCACAAAAAGAACAAATGGCTGCATCTCTCTCGGTCCGGTCCAACCGTCTCTCTCCATCCGGTTCACCTTTCTCACGACCACCGGTTCACACCCCCTCAAACTTAAATCAAATAAAATCATCATTAAAAAAGGATCCGTATTTTTGGAGGGGAGTAATTGTGCAACCCAAGCGTAATTTAGTGAGAGCAGGCTCAAGAGCCGATGATTCGTCGGCGCCGTTTGAGATGTCCGTGGAGAGCGCACTCGAGCTTCTCGGTGTCCCAGACGGCGCGTCGTTCGATGAAATACTTCGCGCCAAAAAATTAATTGTTGCTACTTGTAAAGATGACCAGGAAGCTATTGCACAGGTGATAAACATGTCCTCACGCACACTGGGTTATTCTACCTTTCCTTTTCTTTTTCAATAAAATTTGTGTCTTTTTAGCTAACTGTGAATTTTCGAATTTCGTGTGGAAAGAAGTGTTTAGTTAAAGATTTTAATTTTATTAATTGGTTTTGTTTTGAAGTGTATTTATTGTGTTTTGGGTGGTTATTAATGATGGGTTTTTGTGAAATGTGAGATTTAGCTTTTAGAGGTTGAAAATTTGTTTCTGGGTTTGGTGCCAGCTGGATTAATTATTGCGCTGGTGTTAAATTTAGCTTATGAGTTATAATGGATTGGATTTCGTATCATCATGCCCATTAGAATTTGATTTTTATTTTTTTTTGAGTTTTAAAAGTAACTGGAAGCCAGCGTGCCATTAGATGCACAGCCAGTGTATGGGTTAGAACTTAGAACTGTGAAAGGTACCATAGCTCTAAGTTCAGTGTATAGAGTGATTAGTGAGTTTAGTGGAGGTACATGATAAATGGGGTGTACAAATCTCGGTCATCAAGATGCTGTCCTGCATTGATTTTTAATTGCTTTTGCTTAGTTATTTTTTAGAGGTTCTTGAGATAATGATCTTGGTAGAATTTATGGCATGTAATTTTCAGTTGTGGTGTTTTGGGTCCTTTTTTGCCATTTTCTAGCGATTATTTCAAGATTCTTGACTGGCTAAGGTTTATTTCACTCGTGTTATTTATGAACTTCTGCTTGAAGCTTAGTTAAGAGAGTTTCCCTGTTTTCTACCCTTTTCAATTGATGTTTCTGCATTTATACTGACCTGTCTTGCTACAGTTCTTCGTTGTGCTATAAGTTTGTGGTGTCGTTATGAAATGATTACATTAGAATTAGAATTACAAAGAAAAATAAAACGTTTAGGATTTTGCTCTTTTTTTTTATTTACTGTAGCTGAGGCGTGTTTTTTGCAATTTTCATCCTTGAAGTTCTTTTTTTCAATTTTTTTTCAATTCTAATCCCTCTTTTATGAGTATTTTTTACATTTTGGTCCAAAACTTCCTTTTCTTCTCATTTTGTTCCTTGAGCTAAGAGAGAAGAGAAGTCGCCGGATTACAGTGAAGAAGAGAATAAGTTTAAAAACGGATGCTTCTGTGTGGTGAAATACATCATTCTTGATGTCAATGAGTTTCTTTGGCGAGAGTAGTTCCATTTAGGTCTTCTTTTTCATTTATCTTTCCCAAAAAATTAGATCGGGCTTTGGGATTTTATTTGAATTGGGTTGATTTTTTTGTTTTTTAACCGATTAAGTGGTGATTTAATACCAAGAGTGGGTTTTTGGAAGTCCCTATGATGTCTCTTACATGTTTTTGGTTGAAAAAATCGGTGAAAATGGGTTTTTTACCCTTAGGAGACTGTTGTCATTTTTCTAGCCACCTCACTCTTATAGCAGGCAATGCCTGCATATTTTTTCAGAAAATCCACCCCCCAAAAAAGAAAAAAAATTATAAAACAGGCCCAGGTGTGTGGGCTGACCCAGACCTATGCCCTTGGGCTTTTTATTTTTAATTTGTTTTTGTTCATTTGTATTAATTTTCCTGGCTGATTTTTTTTTCTATATTCATTCTTTAACATTTTATTTATTTTGAATTTTACTATGTAATTTGCTTTTATTTGATATTTGTGGGTTTATCATGGTTTAAAATAAACACCTTGGTTTTTAGTTGGTGCTTAGATTCTCAAGCTTCTATTTATTTATTTTTTTGTTTAGTTAAACAAAAAATAGTTTTAAAAAGAACAATGTTATTAAAACAAGTTAAGTTCATCACCCAGCTCACTAATTAAATAAGAATTAATCTAAAAAAAAATTAAACACATTGGAGTTCATGATCCAATTCATGGGTTTAAAGGGTTAGGTTGCAAAACCTTAATTGATCCAACATGTAGCCATCTCAATATTTTAAAAATAAAATTGTCATCTTAGAGTTTTTTTTTTTTTGGTTGTGGTTCACATTCTTTTTTTCTTTCAAAATTCTTTTTACGGGTTAGGCTATGAAATTCAGGTGAATCATTTTTATTTTTTTTTGTTGTGCAGCTTGCAGCGTAACACAGGTACCTATGTAGTGGTCACTAAATTGACACAGATATGGTCTAATTTATGACATTTACTTTCTGTCACAAGCATTTATTGAGCTTGAATAAGATTTTGTATCATTGTGTTTTAGATAATTTTTATTTTCTCATGAATGTAGTTAAATTGTGATTTTTAGGTTGAAACTGCGTATGATATGCTGCTTATGCGGAGCTTGACTCAGCGTCGAGCAGGAAAAGTTGCCAGTAGTAACATCCGTTATGCTGATGTTAAACCTGTAAATGGTCCTGGGATGGGATCAATGCCACAATGGCTGCAGACTACAATCAAGAAGATCCCAGTTTCCGTGGAAATGCCATCAACTGGAGAGTTAAGCTTACAAGCAGGAGTATATGGAGCTTTGATGGTTTTAACTTATGTTAATGGCACTTCCACACCTTCTGTGGCACCTTATGCTGGGGCTGATGTTCCTGGGCTGTTATTAGCTACAAGTTTTGGTGCTTCCTTATACTTCATGACCAAAAAGAAAGTGAAATTAGGTAAGGATCTTTCCTTTTATGTTTCATCAAGTTTCAAGGAATTTGGCCTAAAGTTCTATTTACTTGAATCGGGTCATTTTATTCAGGGTATAATAAAATTTTACAGTTGGTTTTGTGGATGATGAAAAGCTTCCAATCGCTTAACTATGCTGATTGTTCATTGCAACTTCATAATAATGGTTGGAGATAAGAGCAAAGTGTGCTTGTGTGTTTTGGTGTGCCTTTGGGAGTGGGGTGGGGGTTGCTCTGGAAATATGCGGGTGTAACATTCTAGGATGTTACCAATATGGGTTACCAGGGCATACCATGTGAGAATGGAAACCTAGCCTCGAGGGAAATTGAATTTTTTGTTTTGAGTTTCTGTGAATCAATGACTTGTCGTTACTAAAGACCACATGTTATTTATACATTACGAGAATTTCAACTGCCTGAGGAGCAAAAAGTGCATCTAAGACTGTTGCTGGTCATCTTTGCAGGGAAAGCCACTGTAATAACCATAGGGGGGCTTGCGGCTGGGGGCGGGGGGGGGGGGGGG